GGCTAAAATTAATTTAAATAATATATCTTATTTAACCCAATAGATCCAAAATATTATCATTTCCACATGTAATCAATACAAAAGTTGATAATGCTTTATTTTACATTTTTCTCAGTCTTTGGAATTCAGTTTGTATTTTGAGCCTGCAGCACGTCTCAGCTGGATTAGTCACGTGCTCTGCAGTCATGTGGCTGCTGGTGGTACATTGGACAGCACAGTTCTAGAGAACGGAGACGGAGCCCTGGGTTTATACTTTAAAAGTCCAGATAACATCTTGTTTTAAAAAGCCAGTTGTGGGAGCGGGAGCAGGAAAGGTAGGGGAAAAAAAAACCCAGTTGTTAGCTGGGCATGGTGGCTCACGCCTGTAATCCCAGCACATTGGGAGGCTGAGTAGCAGGCAGATCACAAGGTCAGAAGTTTGAGACGAGCCTGGCCAATATGGTGAAACCCATCTCTACTAAAAATACAAAAATTAGCCGGGCATGGTGGCACTTGCCTGTAGTCCCAGCTATTCAGGAGGCTGAAGCAGAAGAATCCTTTGAACCTGGGAGGTAGAGGTTGCAGTGAGCCAAGATTGTGCTATGACACTCCAGCCTGGGCAAAAGAGCAAGACTCTGTCTCAAAAACAAACAAACCAGCTGTATGGCCAGGCGCAGTGGTTCGTGAAAGATTTATACGATCTAAAGAGGAACCGGAGTACAATCCCTGCACTTTGGGAGGCCGAGGTGGGTGAATCACCTGAGGTCAAGAGTCCAATACTAGCCTGGACTACATGACAAAACCCCATCTCTACTAAAAATACAAAAATTAGCCGGGGGTGGCTGGGTGCAGTGGCTTATGTGTGTAATTCCAGCACTTTGGGAGGCCGAGGCAGGCGAATCACCTGAGGTCAGGAGTTTGAAACCAGCCTGGCCAACATGGTTAAGTCCGTCTCTACTAAAAATACAAAAAACTAGCCGGGCGTGGTGAGGGGCACCTGTAGTCCCACCTACTTGGGAGGCTGAGGCAGGAGAATCACTTGAACCCAGGAGGCAGAGGTTGCAGTGAGCCAAGATTGCACCACTGCACTCCAGCCTGGGCAACTAAAGTGAAACTTCTGTTTCAAAAAAAAAAATTAGCTAGCTCTGGTGGTGAGCACCCATAATCTCAGCTACTTGGGAGGCTGAGGCAGGAGAATCACTTGAACCCGGGAATTGGAGTTTGCAGTGAGCCAAGATTCCACCACTGCACTCCAGCCTGGGCAACAGAATGAGACTCTGTCTCAAAAAAAAAAAAAGCCCGGTTGTTGGACTCAGACTGCATGGGTTTGAACACTGGCTCAACCTCTAGTTGTGTGGCCTTAGACCTGTCCCATAACCACTCTGTGCCTTAACTGTCTACTCTGTAAAACAGGCTTAACAACCCTCATAGAATTGCTGAGGATTAAAGAACTTAGATCAATGCCTGGCATACAGCAGGTGCTCACTAAAGGTTGGCTGTCTTCATCTCTGCAGGATGCTAACCTTGGCCCAAAACAATCATTTATTTATTTGACACAGGGTCCCTCACCCAGGCTGAAGTGCAGTGGGACAATCTCAGCTAACGGCAACCTCCACCTCCTGGGCTCAAGAGGTCCTCCCACCTCAGCCTCCTCAATAGCTGGGACTACAGGCACACGCCACCACACCTGACTAATTACAAGGTGTTTGTAGAAAAGGGGTCTCACTATATTGCCCAGGCTGGTCTGAACCTCTTGGGCTTAAGCTATCCTTCTGCCTCTCAAAGTGCTACCATTACAGGCCTGAGCCACCATGCTGGGCCTCTTGCCCCAGCCTATGGTTTGCCGGAAGATTGAATGAGAAAAATAGTCCCTTGCCCTCCAGGAGGTTGAAGCAGAAGTGAGAGCTGGGTGGGGCCAGTGAGTTTTGTCTGGAGAAGCTGGAATAGGATGGAAGAGGCACCAGCTGTGGGGGGCGGGAGGCTCTCTGGGGGGACGAGATGGAGGTTTACAGCTGGGCTGCCATGGAATTTGGAAACTCACAGCAGCATAAGGCCTGGATGATTCATTGCTGCATCGAAGCTTCTGGGGTTCACAGAAGGGAGGTCTGGAGGGCTGGAACCTGCAGAAAACGCTTCAAGGAGCAGCGTGAGGTTTGAAAAGCCAGCGAGCAGCGGGTGATGCAAGGGCTGTTTGAGACAAAGGGTCTGATTGGAGTGAGGCCCGCTGCCTCTGGCGGGTGGCCTCCGTCGCTAGCGGCCTGCCTCGCGGGAGAGGGGAGCGTCTGAGGATTGCATTTTGAGGCCACAGCGCCCTCTGCTGGACATGGGGACTTGATGGCAGCAGCACGAGTGGGAGCAGGGGACAACATGGGCGGGCGAAGTTCTGTGCCAGATACGGTCCTTCCCATTCCCAAGCACCCCTGGGAGGATCACACAATCGGAATTCCTTAACAAGTATAGGACGTTCATAGAAAACGAGCAAGCCCTGCAGTGTACTCGTCTGTTGGGTCATCTTCATTTGCTCACAGCTGGTGTAGATGAACGTGTACTATATTAAGTTTATTTCACCTCATAATGCTTATAGGGCTGTGGATTAGAGGCAAATAATGATAACAGCTAATGTTTACATAGCCCTATGATGTGCCAGGTGAGATTTTATATCATTTTACAGATGAGGAAACTGAGGCACACAGTTTGTTTTTGTTTTTGTTTTTTTAAAATAACCAGCATAACATGACATAGCTGACATAGAGCCAGTAGGGTGCAGAGTGTGTGCACTAAACCATCACTTCCTACTGTTTCTCTGAAATAATCAAGGCCATTTTCCCCTTTACATAAGAGATGTTAAGTCCTGGGTGCTCCATGTATCTAGACATTCCTAGTTCTGTTCCTGATTCTCAGACCACTGCTAAATAATTTTTTTTTTTTTTTTTTTTTTTTTTTTGAGACAGGGTCTTGTTTGGTTGCCCAGGCTAGAGAGCAGTGGCAGGATTTCAGCTCACTGCAGCCTTGACCTCCCTGGCTCAAGCAATCCTCCTGCCTTAGCCACTCGAGTAACTACAGGCATGTGCCACCATGCCTGGCTAATTTTTGCTTTTTGTAGAGACAGGGTTTTGCCATGCTGCCCAGGTGGGTCTCAAACTCCTTCAGCTCAAGCAATCTGCCTGTCTCAGCCTCCCAAAGTGCTGGGATTACAGGGGTGAGCCACGGCTCCTGTCTTAATTTTTTTTTAAGTGATGGTGGCTGGGTGGAGTGGCTCACCCCTGTAATCCCAGCATTTTGGGAGGATGAGGTGGGTGGATCACTCAAGGTCAGGAGTTCAAGACCAGCCTGGGCAAAACAGTGAAACCCTGACTCTAATAAAAATACAAAAAAAGAAAAAAAAAATCGCTGGGTGTGGTGGCCTGCACCTGTAGTCCTGGAGCAAAGTGTTTGTATTCTTTGGCAATACAGGCTGATTCTTTTTTTTTTTTTTTTTTTTGAGACAGGGTCTCAGTCCGTTGCCTAGGCTAGAGTGCAGGGGTGCAATCTCAGCTCACTGCAACCCTTCCCGCCCAGGCTTAAGCAATCCTCCCATCTCAGCTTCCTAAATAGCTGCAACTCTAGGTGTGCACCATCACGCCCAGCTAATTTTTTCGTATTTTTTATAGAGACAGGATTTCACCATGTTGCCCAGGCTGGTCTGGAACCCCTGAGCTCAATGGTTTCACCATATTTCCCATGCTGGTCTCGAACTCCTGAGTTCAAACAATCCACCTGCCTCGGCCTCCCAAAGTGCTGGAATTACAGGTGTGAGCCGCTGTGCCTGGCCCTGCTAAACACAGTGCTAGAATATCTGCAACTTACTTTCAAATGGTTCAGAAAAAAACCCAAAACGTAAATTTACATATACAGAGAGGAAGAGAGAGAAATTTTGCAATTTAAGAATCTTGAATCTTGAATTATAGACTTAAAAATGGTTAAAATGGCAGATTTTGCTATGTATAATTTACAACAAGCTTTTTGTACAATAAACAGGGCATGTGGGGGCTGCATGCTGTTATTCTGCAGATATACTGAGGAGGCAAGTTGACCAGCTGCTAAGGGACTTGACCATAGTCAGACAATCTGGCTCTGTCTTCCATAGCTACAGGAGCCAGGGCAAGTTTCTTATCTCTCAGCCTCAGTATTCCCATTTGTAAAGTGGAGATTATCAAATTTCTTGCCTCTTAATGTGTCAAAAATTACTTCAATAATCCATGTAAAGTATTAAGCATAGTGCCCGGTATAGAGCCAACTCTCAGTTCCTTCAGTTCTGGAAAATGTTCATGTATTATTTCTTGTATTATTACGTTCATTTATTCTTGACAGGGAATTATTTTCTTTCTTTCTTTCCTTTATTTTTTCAGGGTCTCGCTCTGTCACCCAGGCTAGAGTGCAGTGATGTGATCACGGCTCACCGAAGCCTTAACTTCCCAGACTCAGGTAATTCTCCCACCTCAGCTTCCCGGGTAGATGGGACTACAGGTACACATACCACACTGGCTAATTTTTATATTGTTTCTAAATATGGGGGTTTCTCCATGTTGCCCAGGCTAGTTTCAAACTCCTGGCCTCAAGTGATGTGCCTGCGTTGGCCTCCGAAAGTGTTGGGATTACCGGTGTGAGCCACTGTGCCCAGACTGTTCTTTCTTTGTGTGTGTGCTTTTGTTTGTTTGTTTTGTTTTGCGTCGTCCTTGAGGCGCGCGGAGCTGGGGCTGGAGGGATGGGTCCGCCTCCAAGGCTGGCCAGTGCCTGCGCCGCGGGGCTCCCGTTAGGACGCGCATTCTCATACCCTCCTTCAGCTGCGCGCGCCCGGGGGCGTGGGAGGGGGCGGGGAAACCGGAAGGGGCGGTTGTCGCAGGAGGGAAGGAGCGAACCCTGAGAGCTTGTCCTGAGAGCAATGAAGGCGGCAAAAAGGCGGACCGCTTCTCCCGCTTCTACGAGGACCGACACTTCCCGGTAAACTCGGGTGTCGCCGAGGATGCGGGTAAGGCGCTGGTCGAGCCCAGATCTCCTTCTTTCTCCAACTTGCGAACCGGCTCGCTCTTCTCCCGTCTCTGCTTTCTCAACGGGCTTCCCGGCTTGAGGGAGGCCGCATCTCCTCTCAGCCCCATTCTCTTACCTCTGAAACTCAGGCCGCGGGGTTTGGGGCTTCCACCTCTTGGCGTCGGATTTCGGAACCCCGGCCTGGGCGTTGTGTGGGGGTCTGTAGCCTCGGGGTTTGCCCGGCCTGTGCCGGCGAAGGGCTGGCTCCCAGGGGACAAAAGGGGTGGTTGGGTTGGGCTGGGAGGGCTTCCGAACCCCGGGATTTTGCTCTCGCGGACCCTTTTGGGGTCCTTCTCTCTTCAGAATCTCAGTGTTTCACTGGCTGCCTTCGTTATCAGACGCCTTACTGGTTAGTGAAACATTGAGATTTCCCGGGGCGTATAAGCGTTGATGTAGTTATTAGACTGTTAATCGGGCTTGGAAAACGGTAAGTTACTGGACCGTGGTCCAATGTAAGTGTGATATAGCTGGCCTAGAGTGAGAACCTGAACAATGCCATTTTATAAAAGACAAAACTGTTTGCATTCTCCTCACAATGACTGCTAACCTTCGCTTCTGTAAAACTGCTAGTTTACAGAATGCAAAGAAGTAAAGCTGCTCACCTTCTCTTATCTGTAACTGCCAGAATTGCTGGCCTTTGTTTACCAGTAATAACCAGAATAAGCACCCCCAGATAATTCCATCCTGGCGCCAAGTAACTAAAAATCCGTGGATCCCACCCCTACCCAGACGATGTGTAAACGAATACTAATCTTAGCATTTGTGAACCGCTTAAGTGACAATCAGCATGTCAAATAGTCCCCTGGCCCTCGGAATGTCCGGAACCCCCTCACCCTCATCTTCGCCCAGAAATCCACTGGAATGTCCGGAACCCCCTCACCCTCATCTCTGCCCAGAAAGCGATTTGAATCCACTAGACCTCGGAATGTCTGAAGCCCCTCACCCCATCCCCTCCTCTCACCCCCAAGTTGATTTTTACGGGTATAAAACGTCTTGTCACCTTCTTTTACAGGGCCACGGGTTGGAGAGACGTGAGTCCTCCGTGGTCGCCGGCAATAAACCCTGCAATTTGGCATACGTTTGTCTTGGTGTTGACTTTCTATGCTTGGTCCAGTATAACATAAGCTTAACCTCAAATCCTATCTCGAAAGAAGATTTGTAAGAAGCGTAATGGTAATGGGCCTTCCGTAATGATAATGGTCACTAGTGCCAAAAGCTTGCTTTTTCTTTCTCCAGTTGCAAATGTTAGTAGGGAAAATGCCCTTATGATGGCAAGCTCTATTGAGTAAAAAATAAAGGTCAAATTCGTATAGCTCGTTTTTTCTTTGCTTAAAATACTTTGCTGTTTAAATTATTACCGCGGAAATCTCGAAGACTAAAAGGGATTTAGTATAGATTGGCTATTTGTAGGTAAAACACATCCGTAGAGTCTCAAAAAAAACCACTGCATTACTACCGCATATCCTGGCAACTGCAATTTGGGTCAAGGGATGAATCTCAGAACTCAAGTTTTGATCCCGCTGCAGATCCTACTCAAAGCAATACGAAAGCACTCTAGCTGTGTTTTAGAAGGCAGTTTAAAGGGTTTGGATTCCCTGAGATGGTAGGATTGGTAAATAAATATAGGTAAAGCAGTTTAACAATTTTAACCCAGCACTGTTAATAGTCTAGTACATAGAAGGCTTATGAGAAGTTTTGCAGCTAGGGATCTGGAGGCTGTTGAAAAGCCTTGTGAGATCATGCGCCTGCTGTATAGCTGCAGCACAATACAGAAGAATCTCAAGGTGTTCTATGGATATAATGCAGATTCACCGAAGTTTGGAAGCAGTTCATGTTAGCCTTTTGGTCTCAGAAATATATGTATTTTTAGCAAGCACTGTAAAATACGAGTAGGCTGCAAGGTGTATGAGCTTTATTGATTTTTAAATTACCAATAGAGACATATTGATAACCAAAGCCTGAAAATGCTTTTCAGAGGAGAGAATCTCAAGGTGACCTAATAAAATTGAAAATGGATAATATGGACAATACTGTGAACCACAGAATTCCAGCAGGCTTAACAAAAAGGATTTTCAGGGCCTTTAAGGAAGATTTTGAAAATTGTGGATAGCAGAGTGTGAATGCTGTTTTCTGAAAAAAAAAAAAAAAAAAAAAAAATTGAGGGACTTAGCCTCTACTTTTTCAGTAGTCAGTTTCTAAGTAAGATGACCCTCTCTTCAAATGCTTTAGTTGGGTATTGCAAAACCTGATTTTGGTTTCATGGTAGTCGTTTGAAGATGATACGTATACTTCAACTTTATTTTCTGCTTATGTGTTGAAAGAAGCAACCCCTGTTAAGTTGGATCAGCCAGGAAAATGTTGGCTTTTAAAATTCAGATATCCTAGCATTTTAGGTAAATAGGGTATTGGACATGAAACCTTTTTAGGCTGTTGTAAGATGTTAAAACGTTTATAAATTGTGTTAACATTTCTAAAATGTATTCATTTAAAAACAGTGATTTTTTTCTGGATATTTTAATAAAGGGAAAAATACAGATTGACTCTCATTAATGATATTTTTTGATTCAGTTATTGGTGAGAGAATGTAATGTAATAGGATGCTCCTGTGAATAATGTATCTGAAACATTTTCAGCTTCAGGTTATTCAAAATTAAATGTGGCCTCCTTTTTAGATTTTAAGTAATAAATGAGGTGAAGCCACTGACCATACTTGAAAACAAATCCATAGTAGGTTTCCAGACTCAGTGGATAGATCTTGTTGCTTTCATCAGATCTTGTAGCACTGGACATTTCTCTGTTCATCTTCTCTGGTAAGATCAGATGACTGTCATTTTCTTTGTCTTTAATTTGGCTGGTGATTTAAAGTTGTAGAACTTCACTCTACCAGTTTATCAAGTGCAAATTTTGGAGAGTTTGATGTCTCTTGAAATTAATATGGAGTCAGGGAGTTGGGCTATTACAATTTGTGAATACCTAAAGTTTCAAAGGTATTTTGTAGAAAGTAGTGAAAAGTTATAGTTAACAGTGGTATGCACTCATGAATATAGAGATTAATCATTATCAGCGACCTACCTTTTTTTTAATTGGTAACTTTACTAGAATAACAAACAGGTCCTATTCCACAGGCTTTATCTGTCTCAACACACAGTCTTCACTATAACCCTAGGAGGTAGGTACTGTTGTTACTGGTGTTTTCAGCTGAGACACAAAGAATTAAGTACATCTGTTAAATGACAGAGCCTAGATTCATACTGGCTTTTGGACTCTTGAACTTGTGCTCATGACCATTCTGTCTGCCTCTGGCAATTATATATTTTATATAGCTGCAATTGAATAATCAAATGTGAAGAAGGATAAACTTGTAGGTGACAAATAATAAGGGAGCTTTTAGAAAGCTGATTCAATTCCAATTTTTATTCTATTCAGTTTTGTTCAGATCTGTTTCTTTCTAGTCTCCCAAGGGTTTCTAGGGAGGTTTTCAACAGTGATAAATTATATTGTTTCATAGAGGATAGATTGATAACTGTTTTAGTTTAGACATTTTTTTGTCTAGACTTTTAAGTGTTTTTTGTTTTTTAAATCTTTGGGAATCTTTGTAATCTAAGCTGATGTGTTTATTTTTACAGGTGTTTTAAGAGTTTTAACTACTTGTTTAAGAATTTGACCTCAATTTCTGGGGCCGCCGCCGCGCCGCGACTTGAGGGCGGGAGGCTGGGGGAGGGTAGCGGAGCCGGCACCGTCGCCATGTTGGGTCTGAAGCGGCTGCTGTAGGCGCCTACCTAGCGAGCCGGCGTGCGGAGCGGGCGACAGCGGCGTGGGATCTGCCTCTCTGCCAGCGGCCTGGGGCGGCGGCGGCGGCGCCATGAGCGGGGGCACCCCTTACATCGGCAGCAAGATAAGCCTCATCTCCAAGGCAGAGATCCTCTACGAGGGCATCCTCTACACCATGGACACCGAAAACTCCACTGTAGCCCTCGCCAAAGTTCCATCCTTTGGTACAGAAGACAGACCAACAGATCGTCCAATACCACCTCGAGATGAAGTCTTTGAATATATTATATTCCGTGGGAGTGACATTAAAGACCTCACTGTTTGTGAGCCACCAAAACCACAGTGTTCTTTGCCTTAAGACCCAGCTATCGTTCGGTCCTCACTAGGCTCATTGACTTCTTCATTCCAGTCCATGGGTTCTTATGGGCCTTTCGGCAGGATGCCCACATACAGTCAGTTCAGTCCAGGTTCCTTAGTTGGGCAGCAGTTTGGTGCTGTTGGTGTTGCTGGAAGCTCTTTCACATCCTTTGGAACAGAGACATCAAACAGTGGTACCTTACCCCAAAGTAGTGCGGTTGGTTCTTCCTTTACACAGGATACAGGATCCCTAAAAACACAGTTATCTCAAGGTCGTTCAAGCCCTCAGTTAGACCCTTTGAGAAAAAGCCCAACCATGGAACAAGCAGTGGAGACTGCCTCGGCCCACTTACCTGCTCCAGCACCTGTTGGGAGAAGGAGCCCTGTTATCAACCAGGCCTTTGCCATCTACCAGCCAAAAAGCAATAGAGAATCAGGAGCACAGGAGAGCTGAAGTACACAAAGTTTCAAGGCCAGAAAATGAGCAACTCAGAAATGATAACAAGAGACAAGTAGCTCCAGGTGCTCCTTCAGCTCCAAGGAGAGGGCGTGGGGGTCATCGGGGTGGCAGGGGAAGATTTGGTATTCGGCGAGATGGGCCAATGAAATTTGAGAAAGACTTTGACTTTGAAAGTGCAAATGCACAATTCAACAAGGAAGAGATTGACAGAGAATTTCATAATAAGCTTAAATTAAAAGAAGATAAACTTGAGAAACAGGAGAAGCCTGTAAATGGTGAAGATAAAGAAGACTCAGGAGTTGATACTCAAAACAGTGAAGGAAATGCTGATGAAGAAGATCCACTTGGACCTAATTGCTATTATGACAAAACTAAATCCTTCTTCGATAATATTTCTTGTGATGACAATAGAGAATGGAGACCAACCTGGGCTGAAGAAAGAAGATTAAATGCTGAAACATTTGGAATCCCACTTCGTCCAAACCGTGGTCGTGGGGGATACAGAGGCAGAGGAGGTCTTGGTTTCCGTGGTGGCAGAGGGCGTGGCGGTGGCAGAGTTGGTACCTTCACTGCCCCTCGAGGATTTCGTGGTGGATTCAGAGGAGGTCGTGGGGGCTGGGAGTTTGCAGATTTTGAATATAGGAAAGACAACAAAGTTGCTGCATAGTCTACAAACAAGTCTCTGAAAATAGGTGAATTTCTAGCTCTTCATGGTCCTGAAAATTGATTTCAGTCTTTGCGAAGAATGAAGAAGTGAATTCGCTGTACATTTGTCACCAGCACTGGGTTTTAGTTTTTTGTTTGTTTTTCTGCTTATTTCAAAGATAAAATGCAGTTACTTTTGGGGGTGGAAGGCTCATCTTACAACATGAGCATTAAATATATTTGGAATAGCCGAAGCTTAAGTAATTTCTTATATATAGTTAAACTAAAGCAGTACTTGAGTGGGACTTACAAGTATTTTTTCATCACTGAAAGGTTTTTTTATCACTAAATTGTATTTGGCAATTGCAAGTTGCCTGCAGATAGGGCCGTGATACTGTGTTTTGAGCCACAGAAAGTTGTGTGCGTGTGTGTATGTGTGCGTGTGTGTGTATCTTTTTCCTCCTTTCTTTTGGGGAATCCTGTAATATGAGGTAGCTTATTTCGTCAGTTAATTAGGGTGCTGGATGGTAGAGAATTTTGTCAGTCAACTATGTACACAGAGTAAATACTGTTTCTTAGGCAAAGGTAACTTTTTTATATAGTTGTAAAATTCCATTATATTCCATTGCCAAAGAAACATTAAGACCTTTGTATAGCTGTATAAAAAGCAACTAATTTTTTAAAGAATAAACATTTTAAAGTCAGCAAAAAAAAAAAAAAAAAAAGAATTTGACCTCAATTTCTGAATGAGATATTACTTCTGCCAGCATTTATCCAATTAAGGTGTATTTGTTCTCAGATTGAAGTGTTACACAAACTAATGGAAAATAAAAATATATAATGTAACTTAAGATAATCAACACTTTGGATTGCAGGTTTATTAAAGAAAGCTTTGTCTGTTCAGTGATGTACAGCTAGCTGAACGGTGCCATTAAGATACAGGGCTTAGCATTTTATGGTTGCGCAGCTTTATTGGTGATGCAGCTGAATGCTAGTGAGGAAATGTTCTTTAGTATATGTACTGGCAGAGGACTGATGATTCGTGTTACGAGCGTTCTCTGCATTTTATTTCTAATGAAAAGGAACTATAGTAATAGATCAGTGAGTGATAAGTTGATAAGAGAAACAAGATACGCTGTCTTAAAAGGTCATGATAAAAATACAGAAATTGTCCAAGAACTTTCTGTAATCTATGTAAGTAATCATAATGGTAAATAGCAATAAGCTAGTCATGTATTACATTTATGCAGTGTGTTCGTAGGATTCCTGTTTGTGTTTCCTATATGTAACTCCAGGAAGTTCTTAGTGGAGACTGTTAAGTGAAGAGGTTCATAGTTTTAAGATATTTAGGCTGCAGAAGTGTATTAGTATATTTTTTGTAGGTAATGGAGTTGGTATTGTAATGCAAGTATGTCAGATATGACATGTGGGCAAGTGTTCTAAACATTTTTTCCTATGTCTCTCTTCTGTAATCTGGAAGAAATGCCACAAGCTATGAAAATTCATGTCAGTTTGATTTGGGATACTGAAACTAATGCAAAATCGTTACTCTTCCCAGTCTCATCGTATGATAGGTGAGGAAGATTAGAATCAGGGCTGTACCAGTTTCGAAATACGGATGCTGAATTGACATGATTATTAGCAAATGCAAAGTGATACTGATATTGGTTAATATATTCTCAGGAGATCAAGAGTGACCAAAGTAAAGTCAGCATAAGAGAAGTTTCCCTGGAGGTGATTTGAAGGGTAAAGTGTACATAATCACTTTTTAAGTGTGTGACATATTAAGGAGTAATATCACAGAGAAAGACGTAAGTTGCAAATAGGAAAGATTGGGGTTGGGAAGAACTGTGATGATGTGTTTCATTATTTGTTTTCAAAGTAGGCATGGGAGGCAGGAAGAAACAGATCTGGACAAGTATACTATTAGGCTGAGTATTATTTCAGAGCTCTTACACTACAGTCAAAATGACAGAAAGACAGTTATATCTGTTGTATCCTTTTTTTCTATACATGTAACAGTGCTCATTAGAGTACTGCAAAGGGATTCTTTCATCACATTTTCTCATATCTTTATGATAAATTGTATAACCAAAGCTAAAATATATCCTAAGCTATCCTGATGTGCTGCTTCTTAATTGAAATACATTTCCGTGTGATTTCTGTCTATCTGGCTACATGATAAAATTTTCAAAAGGACAGTGTGTTTTCTATTTCTCTCTTTTTTTTTTTGAGACAGTGTCTGGCTGTTGCCCAGGCTGGAGTACAGTTGTGGGATCTTGGCACACTGTAGCTTTCACCTCCCTGGCTCAAGCAATTCTCTCACTTCAGCGTCCTGAGTAGCTGGGGTGACAGGAATGCACCACCATGCGTGGCTAATTTCTGTATTTTTTTTTTTTAGAGATAGGGTTTCAAGTTGTTGCCCAGGCTGCTCTTGAACCCCTGGGCTCAAGCAAGCTTCCCACCTCCGCCTCCCAAAGTACTGGGATTACAGGGATGCACCACTGCACCCAGCTGACAGTATGGTTTTTTTTGATGTGGTCAAGATTAAAAAAATTTTTTTTGAGATAAGATCTTACCGTGTCGCTCAGGCTGGAGTGAAATGACACAGTCATGGCTCCCTGCAGCATCAACCTCCCAGCTTCAAGTGATCCTCCCACCTCAGCCTCCTGAGTAGCTGGGGCTACAGGCATGTCACCATGCCCTGCTTTTTTTTTTTTTTTTTGCATTTTTATAGAGATGGGGTCTTGCTGTGTTGCCCAGGCTGGTCTCAAACTCCTGAGCTCAAGCTATCCTCCCACCTCAGCCTCCCAAAGTGCTCAGATTACGGGCATGTGCCACTATACCTGGCCAATAATACCATTTTCTGAAAAGAAGTAGCAGAAGTTCATGAGATCGTGAATTATAAATCTGAAATCCATGTAAAAATTTCATTTTTGTTCTTGTGACTTAGTTTCTAGTATTTTATTAATGAAAATGGTTTCTAGCTTGACATAGATTCCAGTTCATGAGTTGTATTAAAATTCCTTCCCTGAAACAACTTGGTACTTTTGCTTGTATGTCTGGCATTAATTTTCTTTTTGTATTAACATTGCCATTTAGCATTAAGTGAAAGCAGATTCATGGTAATTAACAAAGGAATTACATATGACCACCACAAATACTGAAAGAAGTCGTTGATTTGATATTGCAGTGAATACCAGAAGATGTAATCATTTTCCACTTATAAAAAGTGAATAGTCCATTTAACTGTGGAAGTCTAAGCAAATGTGCTTAATGCATATTGTATTAGTCAATGCAAAAAGTTAAATATGCCCAGGCTGAAAGAAGGCATATACTGTATGCTCATTCCTGTGCCAAATGATTTCTTTGGAATTTAAACAAATGTGTTAAGTATTTTATTCCTAATTTAGGAAGAAAAAGCAGCTAATGATTTCTGACATTGTACATAGATTAGTAGCATGTAACTCTGTTATTTAGTAATCACTATAGATAGTAAGGAATTAAAGTTGTTAGTGAGGAAAACAGGCGTATCCTGCCATTTGCTTTCTTTTTGTGATAGTTTTGAGGTACGATCAATCCTGTGTGCAAGTCACTCGAGCAACCAGAAAGTGTCTTTGTAATATGCATTTGATCTCATCTCATGAAGTTGCAATTATTTGTTACCATCCTTGCCACTCTTTGGCAATTACATTGATTTCAAAGAGGATTTATCTTAGTGTTTCATAGAATTGAAACAAAACTTCTTTACAGGTTTAAAGTTGTAATAGAAAAAAGTCATAGAGTTTTCTGACATTTATTTATTTATTTTTATTTTTTTGAGATGGAGCCTCACACTGTCGCCTGGGCTGGAGTGCAATGGCACAATCTTGGCTCACTGCAACCTCTGCCTCCTGGGTTCAAGAGATTCTCCTGCCTCAGCCTCCCAAGTAGCAGGGACTACAGGTATGTGCCACCATGCTTGGCTAATTTTTGTATTTTTAGTAGAGACAGGGTTTCACCATGTTGGTCAGGCTTGTCTCAAACTCCTGACCTGTGATCCACCCACCTTGGCCTCCTAAAGTGCTGGGATTACAGGTGTTAGCCATCGTGCCTGGCTTAGTTTTCTGACATTTTAATAGTGACATTGTTGGTAAAGTCAGTACTTGTCTTATAGCTCACATAACATTATTCTTCCAGAGTTAATGAGAAAAGAGGAGCTTCGTTTTTTTGTCCTTTTTTATAGGTAGTGCTGATCAAAATCAAGAAATTATTTTGATACTCTAGGTCTTTGCTGGGTTCGACCCACAGACCTTGGCAGAATGCTGGATGAACAAATGCACTCCTACACTGATATCTAGTGAAAGAGTGGGCTAGGGGACCAAGCAGCTTACAGTTCCCGAGAAATGTGCTGTAAAGAGTCAGCACCCTGATCACCTGGCACTGCAGGCATTTATTCAGCATAGATTTAATGACAGAGGCTTTGAGTCAACATATTTATGGGTAATTAACATGGTCACCCTCCCAGAAGAGAGCAGTCCTGCAGATGATTAAAGGCCAGGTTCTGTGGCCTAAGTAAACTAGCTTATCTTTCAGCTTCTTTACATCCTCTTGTTATGTAACCTATGCTTTCAGGCACCAATAAGAGAATCTGGCTACCTTCAGCCAAATCCTATTCTGAAGCTTTTGTAAAACCTTCTAGCTTTCCAAGAAGGTATGTGTTTTTCCTATAATTTTTCTCTTGTAATTTCTCCCACCACCCTGACCAGATTCCTACATCTCCCCCTTTTGTTTTTAGTGTAAGGTTTTGTTGATTGAAGAGTACAGATGTGTGCAGTAACAGGTCTGTCAGGTGTGGTAGTCACTACTCGTATTCTGGCTTTGCATCCTAGAATTAGTAAATAACGTAAGACAAGCATGAGTATAATTAGCAACATTCTTTTCCAATCAAGGAGTGACCCCCGCCACTCCAACCCAGGAGAGAGGTTCTCACACACCCTTCCATGTGGCTATTTGTTGGGCATGTAGATCTTTGGCATTTAGGGATTCTAGAATTTTAGGTGGTTTTTTTTTTTTTTTTTTGAGATGGAGTGTTGCTCTGTAGCCTAGGCTAGAGTACAGTGGCGTGATCTCAGCTCACTGCCACCTCTGCTTCCCGGGTCCCAGTTCAAGCAATTCTCTGGCCTCAGCCTCCAGAGTAGCTGGGATTACAGGCACGTGCCACCATGCCCAGCTAATTTTTGGTAGAGGTGGGGTTTCACTGTGTTGGCCAGGCTGGTCTTGAACTCCTGACCTTGTGATCTGCCCGCCTTGGCCTCCCAAAGTGCTAGGATTACAGGTGAAAGCCACTGCGCCCAGCCTACAATTTTAGTTTTAAGTTGCTTTACGTCTGCTGTTAAATTGTTATGAGAGGTTCCCCAGAGGTGGTGTTTCACCTTATCCCAGCTGTGTGTTGATTGGTTCCATGGTAGAGAAGTGACGCAGATAGGCTTATGTTCCCAGTCACAGTTTAATTACTGTCAGAATGCCAGTGCATCTTGTCGCTCCACTACCTATTCCAAGGCAGCCTTGAGGGCTTGCAGATGTGCAAGAATCTTTTGATCTATACCCTGCTGTAAGAGAGGTTCATTAGACACATTTCTGGCCAAATTATCTACAAAGGTAGCTGTTTGTACTGGTTTAGTAGCATGCTACAGCAACACTAGCAGTTGCTAGGATGACTATGGCTGAGACTATAAAGGCTATAAGTGTAACTGTGAATCTTTTGTGTTTGACCTGGGACAGGGCACGTTCTAAGGTGGCAAGAGCCAAGGAACCTTGCCAATTGTGTGTTAAATTGCCTGGTAGGAAGCCTCAGATTGTCTCCTTAAAACCATTACACTAGTAATATTAGATATATTGTAATTAGTGACATCAGAGGCAAATCAAGCCTGTCGCTTCACTCGGGTCACAAACGTGGAGTTTTGGGGTGTAATGGAAATATCGGTTCCCATAAGGAAAACATATGGATGGGTAGTGCAAATTAGGCACTGATCTGTGTGATTATGATTAAAGGTCATAGTATAATTGATACTGGAATTATGATATGTTCCATGCCAGGTGTTAAGGGAGGTGCTAAGACGTCTGAGGTGCCATAAAGTGTCTTGGGGTGGCATGGGCTCTACTCAGGGTTTGGGATATCCCATCCCCCCATCGGCCAAAATCATAGGGGAATGGGGCGTGGCTACGAAACTGTTACTGATGCCATGATGGATGCAGATATCATTATGATCACCCTGCAAATGACCATGGGGCTCCAGTCTAAGATGTTATAATTGCCTAACTGGAGGCCACGGGCTTGTTCCCCATGACAGACCTCCCAGCCAAAGTGGAATCCATTGCTTTCCCATCTTGGTTCTTTATTTTCTTTTTTTTGACAGAGCCTTGCTCTGTCGCCCAGCTGGAGTGCAATGGCATGATCTTGGCTCACTGCAACCTCCGCTTCCTTGGTTCAAGTGGTTTCCCCGCCTCAGCCTCCCGAGTAGCTGAGACTGCAGGTGTGCGCCACCACACCCGGCTAATTTTTTTTTTGTATTTTAGTGGAGACGGGTTTCACCATGTTGGCCAGGATGGTCTCGATCTCCCGACCTCATGATCTGCCTGCCTTGGCCTCCCAAAGTGCTGGGTTTACAAACGTGAGCCACCATGCCCGCCCATCTTGGTTCTTTAGCACAGGGAGGAATGTTGGGGAAAGTGGTATTGGTTGCATGGCCCGGTTTGAGGCTACTGACAACCAAGAATGTTAAGGCATTTCCCTGGCCATAACGTAGCCATACTTGTGTTTGGGCGGGTACACAGTAAGTAACTTTGACAAAAGTAACTTTTATAACTTACACACAGTGGGAGGATAGTGGAGTGATAGGTATGTTACCTGACACCTTAGTCCAATGTGTATCATTAATGAGGGACCCCACTGGGGTAAATCTATCCCTCCCAGCCCAGCAGTTACATTATTAGAGGCTGGGAAGTGGGTGTCTGCCCAGGTGACAGGGCGAAAGAAAGGCGGGTCTAAGATATAATCCCAATAGAGTGTAGCAGGTAAAGGTTGCAGGCAAAGCGAGAGGATAAAAAGGATTAATACCCTACTCGAGTCACAATGTACAACAGACAGAATAGCAAGGAGCAAATTAGCTGGAGTGAATGGTGTCTGCATCCGGAGCAGGATTTGCTCAGCCTCCTGAGTTGTCTTCAGCGTCCCTTAGGTAACATCTGGGGGCTTGTGCTGTCCAAGAAAGTCACGTTGTTTGGGGCTTTGGGTCCTGCAGGGTCATTTTCTTCATTTCTGGTACCGGGTTGGGTTCTAGCCATGCCATGGTATAGTTTGATGCATTGTGCTGGAATGCAAAGATGACCTGAAGGGGCGTGAACACAAGCATATCCTCTTCCCCACGTTAGCAATTCATTTGGACCACACCGTACATTACTATTTATATCTTTCCATAAAACTTCAGGTTTTATATCTTGAGAGGTTTTAGCAAAGTGCTTTTCTACAGCTGATTGAAATTTATCATCTAAATTTTAAAAATTAAGGGTAAATGAGGCTTGTACTAGTAGTGTTGCAGGGTTCTTATACTACCACTTTTTTGTTTTCTGAGCATATTTTTTTTTTTTTTTTTTTGAGACGGAGTTTCGCTCTTGTTACCCAGGCTGGAGCGCAATGGCGCAATCTCGGCTCACTGCAACCTCCGCCTCCTGGGTTCAGGCAATTCTCCTGCCTCAGCCTCCCGAGTAGCTGGGATTACAGGCGCGCGCCACCGTGCCCAGCTAATTTTTTGTATTTTTAGTAGAGACGGGGTTTCACCATGTTGACCAGGATGGTCTGGATCTCTTGACCTCGGTGATCCACCCGCCTCGGCCTCCCAAAGTGCTGGTATTACAGGCATGAGCCACCGTTCTGAGCATATTTTTAAGGGTGGAGTGGGCATGTTCTATTATGGCCTGTCCTTGGGAATTTATATGGGATGACTGTGCAATGTTGGATGTTCGATGTGTGACAAAATTGTTGACATTGTGAGCTGGCATAAGCTGGACCATTATTCGTTTTAATTTTTCTGGGCTGCCCATAAATGGGCTAGCAGCTTCATTATCTCTAATGACTTTTCTTATCTCTTTATAAGCATCAAAAGAAATGGGGTCATGTACTGGATTGCCTTGTGGATCTTGCATTATTGGGCAGGCCAAGAGCTCCACTTCTAATGCTGCTTGCCTGCTTGCCCATAAAATATGTTTAATGATATACTGAGTAGACTCTCCAGGAGGAACACGTGCACTCATTAGATGAGTGTTGGTATCGATGGATACATATACATATCTTAGTTTTCCAAATTCAGGGATGTGTGTAACATCTGTTTGCCATAACTGATTAGGCTCTAGCCCTCTAGGGTTAACACCTGTTGAAGGAGGGGGCCATACCTGTGAGCTGACAATCTGGGCATTGCAGGATAATTTGTTTAGCTAGTCTCTGGGTAAGTTGAAATTGTTAGGTAAGTTTCTACAGTTTTGGTGGAAAAATTGATGTGATTGGGTGGTTTGGTCAAGCAGTGATGTCATGACGTGTAGGTCTGCTTGATCATTGCCCTAAGCCAGTGGACCAGGCAGTGAGCTATGGGCCTGAATGTGTGTAATAAAAATAGGATGTGTGCATTGATCTAGCAGTTGCACACAGGGTGGTCTCCAGAGTGGACTTAATGAGGGCTGTCTCAAGGCTCTGCAGTAAGTAAATAGAATAAGCAGAATCACTAACAATATTGATGGGCTAAGAGGAAAAAGTTTCCAGGGCCAATATTAAAGCTCCAACCT